TTCTCTCTTTCTCTCTTTCTCTCTTTCTCTCTTTCTTTATCACTTTTTCTTCTTCTACATAACTGAACTCAGTCAGGCTGAACTCTAAGGCAGACCTGAATTTTAACAGTGATAAAACGTTACCATCAGGATAGCAAAAAAATGGTGTCTAGTGCACTATTTAATCTGTCGTGCTGTCATGTATTTATTTAGCTATATTTGACTGGACAAGTTGTCATTGTTTGTAGATCCTTTTTGTTCTAATTTAATATAACTTCTTGTTATTTTCCTTCAAAAAAAGAAAAAAGATTTGCATGTAAGGTTACCAAGTCCTGATTGGCATGAGATCCCCGCCTCCCAAAAACACAGTTTTGGCTGTAAAAGGGGCAAAAATATAACTAAATATTTATGTTGAAAATGTCCATTTTACAGTGGAACAAACAGAGCCTTAGTAAACTCATTGGTGCTGCAATGTTACTGGTAAGAACTTGAACAATATTGGATTACATGCAGCATAGATATTGGCTCCCCCCCTCCCTCTTTGGGTTCTGTCCATCTTCAAATGTCTTAAGTCAATCATTTACTAAGTAGTGTATGTAAAGGGATTATGAGATTTAACTCTTTGATGATTCCTTTTTATACATGGAAAGTGGGGACTGGTTCAAGTATAAGGTTTTGGGAATATGATTGGTTGGGTTGGGAAATTCTGTGAAATCTGCTCAAGGTTATACAATCTGGGCAAGAAAGAAGTGCCTATTTCAGAATTCTATGAAGTAATTAATGGTGCTGTGGTTTGGAATCCAAATTTCAGAAGACCTCTTTTTGATTGGGAGGTGGTGAGTGTTTGGAGCTGATTGCAAAGCTTCAGGCCTTCGAAATCAATCCCTCAGCTGCAGATATCAGATTATGGAAAGACTGTAAGGATGGGAAGTTCACAGTCAAGTCAATGTATACGGCACTGATCAGAAATCAGGTGGAGGCTGATCCAGTTAGAGGTGTTTAGGGGAAACCAGTGCCACCAAGGGCTGAAGCCTTTGCTTGGCTGATTGCTAGAGGTTGCATATCAACTCAGGACAACTTAAAACTCAGAGGTTTTCAGTTTCCAACTAGGTGTGCACTGTGTTTTTCTGGAGAGAAAGATGTTCTTCACCTATTGCTTCATCGCAGCTTTACAACTCCTGTCTGGTCCTATTTCTTCAATCTGTTCAAGGTGGACATGTGCTCTATGTTAGATCCGACTGAAATCTTTAGTTGCTGGCCAAGAATCCAAGGTAGTATTAAAACTAAGATTTTATGGACATGTATTCCCTTTGCTGTTTATTGGGAGATCTGGAAGGAAAGAAATAGAAGAATTTTTTAGGTGAAAAAGAAAAAACTGGAAGAGGTGGTGGCTGTCATTAGTTCGTCAGTTCTTGGTGTAAGTACATGTGGTTCTCTACATTCGTAATTGCAATGGAAGCATCAAACCAGAATAACAGAAGCGCCTATGATAACACGGAAACCACCAAGGGCCTACGAGAAGCCTACAACTCATCCCAAGTTCACGATGAGCTCGAACCCATCATGGTGGACCTGTGGTGGACCAAGGGACCATCACACGACCACAATGAGCCAAAGTCACTCACAACAGGACACCTAGCGAACTAAGAAAAACACGTCAAGCTAACTCTGACGTCATCCACGCCATGTCGATACAGGAGACCCATGAGGGGAAGTAGCACACGTGCACTACGGGAATCCCTAGGCGAAAGGAAACTTCGTCCTAGAAAGATCCCGTGTGATACATGGCGAACCCTCAGCAGTGTCCTTTTGACAACTGACATCGGATTAAATATCCCCTTTCCAAATAGGAATCAAACCCCTTTTGGCTCCTTCCCTTGAGAGCCTCGGGGTCTCCCCCCTATAAAAAGGTGAATAAATTGTGATTGGCACACGATTCTATCAACTCTGAGACCTCTATTTACCTTCGCTACCTCTGACCTTTCTTCGTCCTTCAAGGAGACCACCACACTTAGCCTTACCACATCATCTACACTTGGTTTGGTACTGCTGCTTCTAGAGTTTCATGGTCTGTAGAAAGAAGACTTTGGTGCTGATTTCTGGACTTCTCTGAATTCATAAAAGGAGTTCTGATGTCTGTTTTGATCCTGAAAGTTTTGTTTTGTGGTTTCTGTTTTGTCTCACTTGTATTCTGGTGGGGGTGATATCTTGTCACCTAGTTTTGGTGCACTTGCTTCTTTTTAGCAATAAACTTTTTTTTTCTTTATTTATCTTCAAAAAAAAAGGTATCCACAATGACACTAAGAATGTTAGGAAGAGTAATTGTGATGTAAACCTTGGAAGTAATTTGATCGAACTGGAAACAATCATGAAAGACTAACATGCAGGAACATTTTTGTTTTTGCATTTCATCTGTTCATCATTATTCACACATCGCTTTGAAGTTCATTCAGCACTAACTTATGACTTGTGTGACAACCATCTAATTATTGACATGTATTTCTTATGTAGGTCTTTCATGGTGCTGACAACGATGTCCTCTGGCTGCAGAGAGACTTCCACATATACGTGGTAAACTTATTTGACACTGCAAAGGTGAGCATTACTTTTCTGGTTCTGGCTTACCATATTTTGTATTACCACTGCACAACAATGTATTGTATTAGAGTTCCATTCCACCATGGTATGAAGAAACCTATATATCAAGAATCAAGGTTATATGGTAATTAATATATTTATTTTTTTGATAAATGGGTAACTAATATATTTATTGGCTGGTGATCATTTTTAAAGACCTCTTCAATTATCTGATGGCAAGGTGGTCCCTCCAAATATCATCCATGGGTGGAGATATCTTAGTTGTTTATCTGTAATACTTTACTAGTCTTAACTGTTGTTTTGTCAAATATTACTGCTGTGCCCCTATAAATTAGCCAACTATTTGGGTAGATAGTTTTTTTTTCCTGTATCAGAAATATCTTGTCCTCAGATCTGCATATTGGTTTCCCTTCCAATAATAATAATAATAATATTAATAAAAAGACACAAATGGACGGGAATTCAAGGCAGGTGGGTTGGAGAAAACAGTTTTTTTTTTTTTTTTTTTTTTTTTTTTTTTTTTTTATGAATGAAAGTAGTTTTATTAAATCAGATATCAATAGTACAATCAGCCTAGGAGGCGGCACGAGATATTACCCCCCCAGGACTGAACCATATACACCAAAACTGCCCAGGCCTGAGGCACAATTACAAAGTAGCCCAAAATAGATCTCCCCTTGACACCCCTTGCTTGGCCAATGAATCAGCCATTGCATTTGCTGATCTTCTGACCCACTGAAACCTCACAGTCATATTCCTTGTCATCCATTTAACTTTCTTTAACAGATCCCTGTAGCCCCAACAGGCTGTTTCTGGGCTGATTAGCCATCTGTATACCTTGTACCGCTACTAGTAGCTCTACCCTTACTGAATCGCCTTCACCCACTGGTCCTGAAAATAGAGACAACATATTGCTGTCTTTGTCTCTCAGAATCCCACCTATTCCCGATGGCCCTGGATTACCTTGGCAGCTACCACCAAAATTCAATTTTACCACACCATCCGGGGGGGGGGGGATCCATTCAGCTTGTGATTTGATCTTGGTGGAGATTATAGCAGCCACTGCAACCCAATTTCTCCTTAAGTCATCAAAGGAGTAATCTGCCAACAAGTGTGAAGACTTTAACCATGAGATAGTCCTTGTCAATATGCATTCCTTGATTTCAGCAAGACTTCTTCCTTGTTCTTGAAATATTCTTGCATTTCTCTCCTCCCATACAGTTCACAATGTAGCGGCTCTAATACATTTCCACATTAGCTTCCCTCTTTTTGTTAATCTCCCTAAGGCAGTCGGAGTGAACAACAGTTTTACTTCAGAGGGCAAATTCCACCTGCACCCAAATAAAGAAGCAACCCAGTTCCAAATATTGGTAGCGAAAGAGCATGATATCAGCAAATGGTTACAGTCCTCACCCCTCACTTTACACAGAGAGCACCAATTAGGGGACCACATAAAAGGTTTCTTCTTTTGCAAGTTTTCCACAGTATTGATCTTACCATAATAGGCTTCCCAACAGAACACAGCTACTTTGGGGGGAATTGGTCTTGACCATACCTCTTTAACGGGAAAGACCTGAGAGGAGGGGTTGGAGCAATTGAGCAAAGGGCTTTAAAGAAAGAAGCACAGGTGAATGAGCCAACTGTGGTTAAGGACCAGACTCTTTTATCCAGGTTAGGGGGGGTCCAAACACACCGAATCTGGAAGCAACAACAGCTCTGAAACGTAAAGAGATTCTTCATCCCTTGGCCCTCTTCGAAACCCAAAATCCCAATTTAAGGCCAAAGGGCAAACCGAGGGGGAAAGGAACCAAGAAATGGGTTTCTTTTTAAAAAGGGAGATGGAATAGAGAGAAGGGAAACCGTCTTTTAGGGGTTGAGAGCTCACCCAAGTATCTTCCCAAAAAAGAATGGAGTTTCCAGAGCAAGCATCATACCTTACAAAACTGAGGAACTTAGGGAGAATGCCAGAGATAGCCTTCCAAGGTGTTGTGAGCAAAGCCCTTCGGGATACTCCTGCATCCCAACTTGATTCGAAACAACCATGGATACTTTTCATTACTTCATGCCACAACCTCTCCCTCTCTAGGGGCCACCTCCAAAGCCACTTACCTAAAAGAGCCTCATTCTTGCTCACCACGTTCCCTAATCCTAGACCTCCTTCTTCCTTACTCCGACACACCACCTTCCACCTAATCAAGTGATATTTTTTCTCTTCACCAGGTTCCCATAAGAAATCCCTCATTAGTTTTTCCAACCTCTTTGCCTCCCTTTTAGGAATTGTAAAGACTGACAGGAAATATAAAGGCAAGTTGGCTAAAGTTGCTTCAATCAAAGTAACTCTACCCCCCTTGGAGATATAGTTTCTCTTTCAAGCTGCCAATCTTTTTTCGAATCTTTCCACCACTGGGTTCCAAAACCTACTTTCCTTTGGATTTGCACCTAAAGGAAGTCCTAGGTAGGATAGAGACCACTGAGAGCAAGTGCATTCTAGCGAGGCTGCTATAGACTCCAACTCCTCTCTGTTCAAGTGAACTCTCACAACACAGCTCTTCTGAAAATTTACCTTTAAATTTGAGGCCCTCTCAAAGTGAGTTACTACATCCTTCAAATTCCTTACCTTCATCAAATCACAACCTTCACAAAAGATTATTATGTCATCTACAAATTGAAGATGGGTTACTGAAACTCTGTCTCTACCTATTCTCCACCCTCTTAGAGATCCGACTCTGTCTACTTCTGAGAGGAGTCTACTGAAAGCATCGACAACTAAAGTGAAAAGGAACAGTGACATAGGATCACCTTGTCTCAAACCCCTACTAGTTGGGAAAAAATCATTAACTACCCCATTGACTAGGATGAAATAATGGCAATTGGACAAGCAACCATTTACCCATTCGCACCATTTATCCCCAAACCCACACTTTCTCAGCACAAGTAGTAAGAATCCCCAATCCACCAAGTCATAGGCCTTTTCAAGATCAAGTTTGCAAACAAAACCTTGACGCCCTGATCTCCTCATCTCCTTCACACATTCATTTTCTATTAGAATCTGATCTACAATTTGTCTCCCCTGAACAAAAGCTCCTTGCGCTTGGCTGATAAGACAAGGAAGCACCTTTTTTATCCTCAAATGTAAGACCTTAGCCACAATCTTGTAAACACTAGTTATCAAACTAATAGGTCTAAAATCCTTTGGATGCTTGGCCTCTTTCTTCTTGGGAATTAAAGCTAAAAAAGTAGCATTAATTCTACAACTCATAACTGGGTTATCCTCAAATTCCTTAAAGACCTCGATTAAATCTTCTTTGACTACATCCCAACAAGAAAAAAGCCATTGTAAACCCATGTAGCCCTGGTACTTTTGACCTGCATTGAAAAGACAGCTTTTCTGATTTCTTCCTTCTCAAAATTCCTTTCTAGCCAGCTTCTACTCTCTTCTGGAAGCCTCTGCCAGGTAACGCCTTCCAACTCCACACTAGGTCTTAGGGGTCTCCTCAAAATGGATTTGAAGTGCTCAACAAAACAGTTGGCTATCCTCTCTCGGGTGTCAAAGACTATTCCATCCACTTCCAGTTTGGATACTAGGTTTTTCCTTCTCCTTCTATTGGCTAGGTTATGAAAGAATTTAGTATTCCCATCTCCTTCCTTAATCCATTTACATCTAGATTTCTGCCTCCAAGAAATTTCTTCTCTCAAAACAACTTCATCTAACTCTCTTTTTAGTTCCCATCTCCGATCTCTCTCCTGAGGGCTTATGGTTCTTTGAGATTCCTTTGCATCCAATTCCTCTATTTGGGTCAACAGAGAGGATTTCCTTTCTTCTATTCTCCCAAAATGCTCCTTATTCCACTCCTTCACATGTGCTCGCAATCTTTTAAGTTTTTTGTAGAATCTTACTCCTTTCCTCTTCACCCCCCTTAGGTCTTTTCTCCTTCATTCCTCAACCTTCTTCACGATGTCCGGGTGAGTCAGCCACATGTTCTCAAACCTAAAAGGTCGGGGTCCTTGCCTAAAAGGTTCCTGTCCTAAGCCAATGGGGCAATGGTCAGAAGTGACTCTCGGTAAAGCCCTAGTTATCAAGTCTGCCCACTTATTTTCCCAGCTTTCAGTGAAGAGGAATCTATCTAATTTGGAGAAGGTTGGTGTCTCCTGAAAGTTGGACCAAGTATAGAGGGCTTGCAGCATTGGGAGTTCTTTTTATTCACAGTTATTAATAAAATCATTGAATGTCCGCATGCTGGTTGTGATGACCTGTTGGGGATTATTTGATTCATTCGTAAATCGGATTGCATTGAAATCTCCCCCCAAGCACCACAGACCATCCCAAAGCCCTTGTATCCCATAAAGTTCTTCCCCAAAATCATTCCTCTCTCTATAATTGCTTGGTCCATATACACATTAGTTAGTGCCCAAGTAAATCCATCATCTACCATCCTGAATTTTAACGACACTGAAAAATTTCCTACTAGCTCCTCCACCACCTCTACAGCATCCTCTCTCCAAAAAGTAACAATTTCCCTTGAAGCCCCCCAAGAAGGTGCTGACACCCAATTTATTCCTCTAGACTTCCAGATACTTCTTGCCCAACTTCTATCAATATCGGCTAGTTTGGTCCCCTGTAGCATCACTATATCCGGCCTTTCCCTTCTAAGGAGGTTCTTAATTAGCCTTCTCTTCCTAGCACTCCCCAACCCCCTTACATTCCAACTAATGATTTGTAAAAGATTTGGCATCCCCTCTTGAGGTCAAGCCCCTACTTGGAGGCTTTCCTTCTCTCCCCTCTTTCGCTAAACTCCAAATTTTCTTCTATATCTAATACCAACCTTTCCACCTCTGATCTTTTCTTCTTCCTTCGATTGTTAATTGTTCCAGATCTACTTAAGGCTGCTTTTGTTTTATTTTGCCTTTCTGGAAGTCCTTGGCTTTCCTCCACAGATTCCTCCGTTTGCCTATACTCAAGGAGGGCACAAATCTGTCCCCAAATCCTCTCTAGTTCCTCCTCCTGCTTCTTTCCCATAACTGATTCATCCCCAGCTTTTTTGCTACTTTGAGCCCCTGTTTTTACTGAAACTTCTTGAATCCCACCCTGCCCTACCTCTTCCTCCTTTCTCTTATACTCCTCCAAAAACCTACAGATCTGATCCCAGATCTTCTCTAACTCCTCCTCCTGTAATTTCCTTCCCCTTTCCACTTCTTCTCGTCCTTGACCCTCCTTATCCCCAATTAAATATTTTCCATCCATGGTTGTTGAATTAAGTTGAGCTGCAAAAGTACCTGTTCCAGGCAGAAAACCCACATCAGTACCATAAAACGAATTGACAATATTACCTGACAGGTTGTAGGAAGAGGCCAATGGATCTCGAGAAGCAAAACAAAGGGGCAAGGTCGCGTCTATTCCTTCCAAAAGAGGTGGCTGTGGGTCCCCGTTATGTTCAACCAATATTGTTTTAGTCCTTGCATTAGAATCTGCCTTTAGGTGTTGTCCCCTGATTGATACCTCTAGGTTGGAGAAAACAGTTCCCGACCAAAGATCATGAAGTTAAAAGATAAATTTATGGTTATAACTTATATTGCCAATTCTTTCCATTTCCTAAAATGATGGATCATCTGGTTTAGAAGAATATTTTTCACCATGTTTTGGATACTTTACATTCACGTGACAACCAGCAATGTACTTATCCCTAATTTCATTGTTGATACTGGTCCTTGTAGGCATGTGAGTTGCTATCAAAACCGCACAAGTCTTTGGCATATTTACTTGAAACATATTGTGGTGTGATGACAAACAAAATGCTGCAGGTTAGTTGAGGTTGTTTAGCTTTTATGCAGTTCATTAATGTTATTGTTACCGCTGTCTCTTCTATAACTACATTATGAATATCCACATTCTGTTCTATAAATCAGGAAATGAAGCATGTGCGTCTTCTATTTTTCTCGTTACAAGTGTATGTACATGGTCCATGCTGCAAATGTGCATCTGTAGACAAGTTTGCACTGTGGGTGGGTTTTCAGTGTTAGGGTTCTATATTTGCAGGTGTTTATGTTGCTATTTATGTGATGTAAATGCATGTTTGTATTGGTGGGTGCTTTATGGATATGTTTATCTCTGCACTCTGCAGTAATTTCCAGTTCCTTTCAACATATCCACATTATTACAATTCCATTCAGCTTTTTTTTATATTTATTTGGATTTCATGGAATATATTTATACTATTTTCTTTAATTTTTGTAAAACGTCTCTAATGTTTTTCAATTATATTTATATTCTTATTGATAAAGAAAGATATTTATATTCCTCTCTCTCTCATTTGACTGGTAACGGATCATGAATTTTATTAGAAATGTTACAGTGAAAGGATGCCACCTTTCCCAAGAAAACAGAAATTAACAGAAAGAAGAACCAGCTCCATGTCTATTCTTCAGCATGTTTCTTCATACTTTTTTGTACTGGAAACTTTAGCTTTTATTAATTGTGATGAAATAATGAATATAAACAATAAGTTCACACCTCTTGTTTGGGCCATCCTTACTGTCTATCCCTGCCTTAAGTTTTCTATTTATGTTTGCAAAACACCCCCAATATATATGGTCCCAACAGACCTCTTGCTCCGCTATTGTCTCGGGCATTGAGTTTGCTGACCTCTATGAGTAGCTGATTCCTACTTCCTTTCCTAACTGTTCAATTTCTCTCGTGGTGTTCCTGTACTGCTATTAACCTTTGATCCACTTTCCAGCCACCCTTTAACCACTTTGGAGTCTCTCAACTACAAGTCTCTTATCATTATGTAACCTAATGTGAACAAAATGAAATGCTGGCCCTTAAATTATTTGTCACAGAGGGGGCAAGTCTGGATTTTTTTCCCCTTTTTTTCCTTATAGGAAGGATGATATGGATGTCACAATTTCACATTCATAGATGTCCTTGGGTGTATAAGTATGCATTTATGCATATATGTTTTTTTATCAATAACAACAATTTCATTAATCAGTCTGTAAATATGGTACATAAAGGGAGATAAAATTTCTTAACTCCCCTTACTGAGGCAAACCCCCAGACAAAGTCTGAAATTACAACTGAGCCCAAAATAAAACTTCCCTACCCACCCCCAGCTTTGCTAACTCATCAGCAAATGGGTTAGCAGATCTCTTCACCCATCTGAACTTCACTTTCCATGTCCTTGACCAGCCACTTAAACCTTTTCCTTTCATTGCTATACCCCCATATGCATTATGCATATTAAAAGCAATATGTAGTAATTCAAAACTTGACATTGTTAGGCGTTGTTTTATTTTTCTCTCAATTACAGCGCGAAGACTGGAGGATGCGACCACTATCAGAAGAAATGGTACAATATGCTCGTGTGGATGCTCACTACCTGCTGTATATTGCCAATCGTCTTGCCACTGAACTTAAGTCACAGGTTACTGGTATGCCATTGAAATGTCTTTGTTTAAAAGAATGCTAATTTTTATCTTTATTATTGCTAAAAAATTAAGTTATTTATTAAGTGATAAAATTATCAATTAGTCTGACAGACTATGTAAGATGCCATATGTTGCAGATATCGGCTGGATTGAGATATCTAAAAGAAAACAATGCATAAAAAAGATACATCTATAGGCAAGAAATACAAAATATAAATATTCTAAGCAAAATCTATCGATTTACATTGCTGTAAGGCAAGGATGCTCATATTCCTGGACCTACTTGTTACCTTTAACCAGTAAGCTGTGCTAGGATAAAAAATTTATTTAGACTATTCGATATATGTATTTTTTGGGGCTAAGGTGATTCTAAACACAAATGGAAGTATTTACAAGTGTTTAACATGAAATGAAGTATTTCTGCAATGAGATTTAGGCAATTTACTGGACAGCTTTAAATCGTTCTCTCTTTTTTTTTTTTTTTAATCAAACTTAATTTTTTGTATTTCTAACATGTTGTGGGTGTTTACTTCTCTAGCATTAGAAAATGAGCTTAGATGAAATAGGCTTTAGATGTATAATTTCAGTTGATTAATGTAGGCAATTATTTTATAAAAAAATGTAAGCAATTAAGATATGGTAAACATAGTTTATTTCTTTCCAAGATTGGGACCCTGATGATTGAGCAACGTGCAGTTAAATCCCCAGAAGAGAAACTCTAGAATCTGGTTGGGAGAGAAGTCAGGATGCTTTTCTACCAAATACTGTTACAATTTGCTGCTTGACTCCCTTCAAGAGTGTTTCCCAGCCTTGGATTTGGAGAGCTAAGGTCCCACCCAAGACATTTTCTTTTTGTGGTCTGCTACCTGGAAAAGAATTCAAACAGCGGATCCGTTACTGAAGAGAGGCATGGTTGTTGATCCCCCATGCAGCCTCTGTGAAGCCCCAGAATTGGCCAAAACCTGATACTCCACTGCACCTTCTTGTATGCTATTTGGAGCCATTTCATGAGAACTTTAAAAGATATTGGCTAGTCCCTCAAAGCTTGGATGTGTTACTGCCCTCATAGAGGGTGCCAGGGTTCTCAGACAAAGGAAAGATCTTATGGGAACAGGTTCCTTTGCAGTCTGTTGGAATGCTTGGAGAGAACAGAATGGCAGGATTTTTCAGAGCAAAAGGTCCTCTGTAGAGGAGGTCATTAGCCATACTGAATGTACATGGGTTGGTTCGGTTCAGTTTTATATAATTTTTCTAACCAAACCGAAAGTGTCAGGTTGAATTTTATACAAACCAAAACCAACCACTTAACAATCAAACCAACTGAAAAATAATGTTCGCAATATAGTCAGTTTAATAGGTTTCTATCGGACTGATGGAAATATAAAATTTTTACACATGATGGTGCTGATTAATGAGACAAATCTTGATAGAAAAAAATAATAATAAATATAGAGACTGATGCAGACAAGATTGACTTGCGCCACAGGCCTTTCATGATCTAGGACCCTAGGGTCTCTTTAATGGCCTTTTGCTTTTTCACTTTTGTGGGATTTTGAGCTTTTTTAAAATTTGAAAAGTGGGAGGCGGCAACTGAAAGAAGTCAGATTACCAAAAGGGAAAAGAAAAAGTAAACAAAACTTCATAGACATGGAGGCTAGAGACTAGGTTGTAGTTATATATGAGATATAAATGTAACCAGCCAGTTCGGTTGCAGTTCATTTTACAACATAAGAACCCTCAACTGAATCAAACAGTTGGGTTTTACAACTTTTCAAACTGAAACTGACTGAACTTATTTGAGAACCGCCCAAATTGGGTTAAGTTGAGCCAGTTTGCTTGGTTCTTACCCTTTTGTGAACAGCCCTAGTGGGCAAAGGTGCTGGATAAGTTTACTGCTGTGGATGTTGATGCCTTCAATGATGGGTGGTTTTCTGTTATTTTTGACAGAAGTGAAAATAGGCTTTTTGTACATGCTATACTAATACATCTGAACTGTATACCTTTTTGTTTTTGTATATTTGATGAAAGCTCCCTTGGTAACCTGGAACCCTCAGGTGTAGGAGGAGTCTTTAGAGACGGGGAAGGCAAAATTCTGGCTCTTTTTTTGGCTCTTTTTGTACATGCTATACTAATGCCTTCAAGGTCTGAGACTGGCTAAACAGATGGGACTACACCAGATTGAAGTGGAAGGGGATTCAAGATTAGTAATAGACTGGATGAAATCTGGAACAACAGGGAAGCTATGAGAGAAGTCTGGTGCCTTACAAGGGAAATTGAAGCAAACTTCCAATGGGTTAGAAGAACAGAAAATGGCCTGGCTGATGCTCTAGCCAAACAAGGATCAAACAGGAGTGAACTTTTCTGGGCTGCTTTGTAACAGTGGTTATGAATGTGGGTTCAGCATTTCAGCTTTGGGATGCTGGAGTTGTAATATCTTGTTAATTTCTTAATGAAAGTTACCATTTCCTATAAAAAAAATACATTTTACCACTTATAAAAAAAAGGATAGGACCCTGAATACTGATAAAAAAAGTTAGTCAATAGTCATGCCCCCTGTTTTATTTTAGGAGTGATGATAATTGTACTTGCAGTTCTTCACTTCTCCATCTTAAATAAGATCCTCTGTATTGATCGAAAGATGAAAATAAAAGAGGGTTGGATGATATTTGGAATAAATGCGATATATTCAGGCTTTACTCAATTGGATCATTGAATTTTTGAAAACTAAATCTGAGATTTAGTATAAACAATCAATAGTTTGGAAGTTTTACTAAAACCAAATTTACTAAAGTTACTGGTCTGATTGTTTAGAAAGAGCAAATTTTCAGCATAAGAAAACAAGGAAGTTGAAGAGGTTAAGCCCTTGATTCTAGCCATTGAAGGTTACCCTGTGAAACCTATCTGTTGGAGCAAAGGATGCAGCCTAGGACCTTGAGACCTTGCTCATTTTATGGATCAAATAAGGGAAATATTCTTAGGGGGAGCTTCGTTCGGTGGCCAGTGGCATTACAAAGGTAGGAGTGGAAGGGTTTTCTTGTAGCATCAGCAGTTCTCTGTCTACTCAGCTTTTTGGTTGAGGGATGGAGCTTCAAAGTAAATTTTGTGTATTCCTGTACTACCTCTGGTGTATACATCCTTTTGTTCTTAATAAATCACATGCTACTCTCTTCTGAAAAAAGAAGACAAAATAGGTCAAGGGTTAAGGCAGATAAAATAATAAATCAAGATAGAAAAACAAGGAACTGTGATTTTGTATTGGAAGATTAGTTTGTTAGAAATCAGATGTATTGAGGTGTGGTGGACAGGAGAGGGGAGTTGTAAATTTTGTATTGGGAAGGTTAGTTGAATCTAACTAACCTATGGACTAATGATGCTTTGTACTTAACTTTGTACTTTCCTGGGTGATTAATAAAATTTTATTAGTTACTGAAAAAAAGGCAAGGAAGAATCAACGGAGAAATAATGTCTCACCATTTTGGAAATCCTAAAGTTGGAGGTGTACTACTCAGCGTTCAACATTCCTTGGTTCAGTGAAGAAAGTTCTATCTTTTGGATGAAAAGTGGAAACAACTCTAATGATATCTGCTGAAGTTTATTTTATCAATTGGGTGAAATATGCTGAAAAGGTAAGGTGAAAAGGTAAGGTGAAAAGGTAAGCATCAAGTGCCATGGATCTATACGCATGCTTTTAGGGAAATAGAGAACCTGTCACAGGAGCTGAATATTACCTTCAATTGGGTAATATGGACTGCAAATGGGATGGCAGACACTCTAGCAAAACAAGGGGTCTATAGACAGCAGATGTTTTGGGCACTACTGTATCTTTTTTTTTTTTTTTGGATAGGGCACTACTGTAACTTTGTTGTAGAAAAATTAGGCAGCAATTGTTTTGGGGTACTATTGTAACCTTGATTGAGGTTGGCTAATGTCTTATTGGAGGGCTCAAACCAATATGTTGTACCATTCAGTTTTCACCATTTAATTTAATTAATAAGAATATAAGATTTATTTTTGCTGATAAAAAAGGTAGGGTAATTACCTTTTTCAGCTTCCAGTTGAATCAGAAATACGAATCCATAGAAAATAGCTTCATTAAATACTAACTTATGACAAACACTTACTTAAGTGCCATAAAGATTCTGTTTTGTTCTTTTTGATGTATAACATATTGTACTGCTAAGAATATGTACTTACCAGCTATACCTGCATATTTTTGTATATGCCTTTAGGCTATTCTTACTATTAATACTATGACTTATACATGACAAAAGAAAGATTCCATATAGTTTGTACTTTCTACTTAATTACTTGATATTTATACAATGACTTGTCATTTGACATGTGCTTTGTGTAGTCTGAACATATCTTTGCCAAAGTTGGAATTGGGAAAGAAATTTTGGACTTTTTGTTTGTTAATTTAATTATTAAAGCAGATTCTTGTTATATTTTCTGGTCTTTTGTGTATATTGGATTTATAGCTCATGCAGTTTTTGTATTATACTTGTTGCATAGGGCACTGTTTTGGGTGATCCCCCCACTGTCTTTTCTGTTATCTCTTTTATTTTTTTTTCCTTTCTGTAACTTCTTTATACTTCTTAAAAAGAAAATTGCTCACACTCACAAGTCATATCATACTTGCATCATGTCATCTTGGGGGTTGGACAGCTAATTCATGGGTATTGAAGTTAAGCTGTTTCAGCTTGGGTGGTCCTGTTTGTATCTCTACTCATGCATTATTTTCCTTTCGAAGTCCAAATCTCATTGTTTCCCTTTAGTGTGTATGTTGTTATTATTTTCATTGGGATTCTTCATCCATTTTCATCATAGCCTTATATTTCTGAAGATATCAATTTGTCAGAAAATTCAGCTTGTCTCGATGATAAATTCCATTTTGTTCTCGAGGCTAGCCGGAGGTCAAACATGGTCTGTTTGCAGCTTTATGTGAAAGAGATTGAAGCTTCTCCTGGAGATTCTGCTGCATCATCGATATGTTCACGTCATTTGAATGGACAAGGTTTCTTGTCAAGTTGTGAAACCAAGGTATGCCAAGTATTCTTTGTTGTTCTATGGTTGCATCTTTGTGAGTAGTTGTTCTTTCTGAACTACTATACTAAACACTGTAATTGGTGTTTTTTCAATTTCAGGAACTTGTGAGGCAATTATGCACATGGCGAGATTTAATGGTTAGTCATAGTGTACCCATAAATGCAAGTCTCATGATTAAGGACTCACCTTTACTACCATGGGACAATCAAAGCTTATCACACTTGTTAAAGGGAGCTTCTATCCATTTCCAAAAGAATTTTGGTATTTTCAAAAACCATAAGATACTTTTTGAGATACTTGATATTTTGAACAGTAATGGATAAAAACATTAATTTGTTAACAGATATTATACATCTAACAAGAAATATGTATATAAGTTTCTTCATTCTTTTATCATAACCAATAAAACTTAACATTTGTTACTGATAAAAAAAAACTTTTTGGTCTTTTTGTATGGAGTGCCTTGGTTTTAGCGCTTTTCCTTCTAGGTGTATAGTTCCTGGCTGTACATGATGCATACATGGTCTATGCATGTAAACATGATCTTTTACAATGGAGAAATATAATACAATACTTTACCTTTCTCTAAAAACAAAAGAGTAAATAAAAGATGCCAATGTCCTCATTGTCATATTTTCCGTATTTCTAACCTTCGTTGGAGAACAAAAAACAGCAATTTTGTTCCACAAAAAGTTGAAGAGACTGAGAGCAAGGATTAAAGAGTGGAATCGGGAGCATTTTGGAAGGGTAGAGGATCAAAAGAATATTTTTTGGAGAACAAAAAAGATCTCTTCTTAGAGAAGAGATCTCATGGAGGCAAAAGTCAAGACACAAATGGATCAAAGAAGGGAACAGCAATACAAAATTTTTCCATGCGTTGGCTAATGGGAGGAGAAGAAAAAATCGTGGCCAAATTAGAAGTGGATGGGGAGGAAGTCACAAATCAAGATGAGATAGCAAAAGTGTTAGTAGATCACTTTAAATCAATTGCAGGGAAGCCTCTGAGTAATAGATTGAGGATGGAAGGTCTAGATTGGCCCAAGTTGTCTGAAGAGCAAGCAAGCTGGTTAGAGAGGAGTTTTGAAGAAGAGGAAACTAGGCATGCAGTGTTTTCAGTGGATAGATCCAAAGCCCCTGGACCAAATGGCTTCACCATGGCTTTCTATCAAGACTGCTGAAATGTGGTAAGAGAAGACCTTTATGCTGTGTTTAAGGAATTTGAAGTTAATAGCAAAGTAAGCCCTGGAGTTAATGCCACTTTCATAGCTCTAATCCCTAAGAAGAAAGAAGCAAAAAATCCTAAAGATTTTAGGCCGATTAGTTTGGCAACTAGCATTTACAAAATCCTGGCTAAAGTATTATTCTTGAGGATTAAAATAGTGCTACCCTCCATCATTAGTCAAGCCCAGGGAGCTTTCGTGCAAGGGAGACAAATAACAGATCAAATTCTAATAGCAAATGAATGTGTGGAGGATATGAGAAAGTCCGGAAAGCAAGGTTTTGTTTGTAAGCTGGATTTAGAAAAGGTCTATGATCTTGTGGATTGGAGCTTCTTATTAGAGGTCCTAGGGTGTTGTGGGTTTGGAGTTAGATGGTGTAATTGGATAAAGGGCTGCATAAGTTCTTGCCACTTTTCAGTCTTGGTTAATGGGGTAGTCAAGGATTTCTTCCCAGCTTTTAGAGGGTTAAGGCAAGGTGACCCCCTTTCCCCTTTTCTTTTTACCCAAGTTGCAGATGTTTTTAGTAGTTTGATTTCTAAGGCAAACAGGGAAGGTGTAGTGAGAGGTTGGAAGATAGGAAGGATCAGGATTAGGGTGACCCATTTACAGTTTGCTGATAACCTAATAATTTTTTGTGAAGGGGGTGATGGGAGAACAGTAAGTAATCTCAAATCTTTGATAAAGCACTTTGAGAGAGTATCAAATCTAAAAATAAACTTGGAAAAGAGCTGTGTGGTGGGAGTGAATCTGGATGAGAGGACTATTGAGTCGGTGGCTGAGTTTTTAGGTTGTCCCATTTCCTATTGGCCTTTACAGTATTTAGGTCTTCCCTTGGGAGCCAACCCTAAGGAGAGCACCTTTTGGGCCCTGGTTCTAGAAAAGTTTGAGAAAAGGTTAGCCTCGTGGAAAAGGAACTATATTTCTTTAGGAGGTAGAGTTACTTTACTAAGAGCTTCCTTAGAAAATCTGCCGATTTATTATTTCTCTGTGTTTAGGATTCCTGTCAGGGAAGCCAAGAAATTAGAGAAATTAATGAGAAATTTTCTTTGGGAGCCAGGGGAGGAAAAAAAGGATCACTTAATAAATTGGGGAATAGTGTGTAGGAGGAAAGAGGAAGGTGGGTTGGGACTGGGGAATTTAGTTTTGAAGAATAAAGCACTCCTAGGAAAATGGTTGTGGAGATGGCCCTTAGAACAGGAGAGACTTTGGCATGAGGTGATAGATAGTATACATGGCGGTTCAGGAAATGGATGGGATGTTGGTGTGTCGCGTCAAGCCACTCTGGTAACTCCTTGGAAAGCAATTCAGCGTATTCTTCCTCTTTTTCTCAACTATATCAGGTATGATGTCAATTCTAGTACTTCTGTTTTGTTCTGGGAAGATATCTGGGTGGGCAACTCTGCCCTTAAGGACAGTTTCCCTTCCCTCTATTCCATTTCTTGCTACAAGGGTAAAACAATGTCTCACTTTCTTCCAACATCTGATTCTCCATATTCTTTGAGTTGGGACTTTGGATTTCGTAGGGGTTTGAGGGATCATGAACTCTCCTGTGTCTCAGACCTTTTGTCACTACTTGAAAGTGTTTTTCTGGACCCTTATAGTTCTGATGTGAGACTTTGGTCTCCAAACCCAAAAGGTTACTTCACATGTGCTTCCTTCTTTAAGTCCCTTTGCTCTCCCTTGGGACAAGTGGGTTTCCCAGCTAAAGAGATTTGGTCTAAACCTGTACCTCCTAAAATTATTATGTTTTGCTGGAAGGTGTTCTATAGGAAAATCAACACTTCAGACTTATTGCAGAAGAGAAGGCCTTCTATGTGTTTGTCTCCTAATTGGTGTGTACTATGCAGGGCTAATGGTGAGGATTGCTCTCACTTATTTTTAACCTGTTCTTTTTCTGTTGCTTTTTTGGGGTTGGATCTTTGCTTTGTTTGGTTACAGATGGAATTTGACCACAGCCATAGATCAGATCTTTGATCCTTCCTTCTTTGTGTGGCCCACAAAAATTGGTAAAACAATGTGGAGGAGCATTAGAGCTGCTGCTTTGTGGACAATTTGGGAAGAAAGAAATGCGAGGATATTCCAAGAGGAGAGAATTGTTCAGAATGTAAAGGATTGCATTATGACCAGGGAAATCCATTGGTTGAGATCATTAGATTCCTTTAAATTATATTCCTTTGATGACATGTGGAGGAACTGGATGGCTGTGGCTAGTAGCAGTAACAGAGAACAGGGTACCAGATGTGTGGGTACCTTCTTCAGAAGACTGGACAAAGCTGAATTTTGACGGTAGCAGCTAAGGAAATCCGAGTCCATCAGGAATTAGTGGGGTGCTGAGAGATAAAGATAGTAATATATTAGCTTTATTCTCAGGCTCCGTGGGTATAGGAGACTCTATTAGAGCTGAGCTTCTAGCAGCAGTACAAGGCATTCAGATTGCGGACCAGTTAGGAGTTCAAAATTTGATTATTGAAGGAGACTCCAAAGTTGTTGTGGGTTGGTTAAAAAATCCAGATTCAGTGGTTTGGTGCTACAGGGATATTATGAGGAAAGCTAAGTGGTTCTCAAGGAACATGAATGTTAATTATCAGTGGGTGGGTAGAACAGCTAACACCATAGCAGATGGGTTAGCTAAACAAGGGGTATCAAAGGAACGTTTATTCTGGGCAGCTTTGTAAATTTTTTGTTACTAGTCTGAGGTAGTACATTGTTGTTGTTGTGGAGAGGCACCAGCTCGTGCCTCTCCTTTGGGCAGGCTGTATTGTAATATCTTTTTGATCTTCTTGAATAAAATTTCAATCATTTATCAAAAACAAAAAAAACAAAAAAACAAAAAACAGCAATTTTGGAAAGGATTGAGAAATAGATGAAGTAAATTTAAGAACTGAGTAAAAGTTGGAACTGAGGGTTGGATAATGATCAACTGTAAGCTGGTGGTAGAAGAAACTCAAAGTCTCAGAGGTTGTGTATCAATATCTGGTCTTCAAGTTCAAATTATGTATGATAAATGATGTAAAAACAGAGGGGATTTTGTTAGAAGAGACCCTTCTTTTTTTATTTAAAAAAAATGCATGGTCACCCGTCACTGATGTAAAACAGTGATGTAATTCTGACACAAAAAAAAAGAAAAAAAACGCATGGCCACTAACGTAAAATATAATATTTGAATGGCCAAGCTCACTGACTGAAAATTTCTCTTCCCCGGAATTTATCTGTTTTCCCATCTTATTGAACAAAATGAATTGCAGGATTCACTTTTGCTACTATTATTTGTCATTTGTGACCATCCTACTTTTTATCAATAACAAGAATTTCATTAATAATCAAAAGGTAAAACAGAGAAATACAATTATCTAGTGGACAAAAAGGAGTAAAGGACAAGGCTAAAGGAGCTTCAAGAAGAAAAGATTGCATATCTAACAAATCTAGTCCATGTACGACCAGGGAACAAAGAAATACCAAAATATGCAAAAGAAAAAGTTTGGGGGACACCTGATCTTTTCCTACATGTTGTCTATACTCCATAGAAGGTCTTTAAAAGAACAAACTTAGATGATGTCTCAGATATTATGTTTTTTAGGAATTTTCGAGTTTATGCGTCTTTCTTAATTTATGATGATGAAATGTTAATTATGCTCATCATGTTTTTGTTGCAGGCTCGCGTGCATGATGAGAGCTTGAGATATGTATTATCAGACCAAGCCATTGTTGCTCTTGCATCCAAAGTTCCAAAGACTTCAAAAGAAATATTTGATACCATATCTGAAGCTGATATAAACATGGATCTTTTGACCGCTGGATCTTTGGTTTCATCACCTTCACCTATTGTCTGCAGTCATTTGGAGGACTTTCATTATATCCTTCAAGACAAGTTAGGCAGCCCAGATGAAGTCTTTGAAAGAACTCTGCAAAAGTGTCTTGGCTCCAATGGTAGTTGCCCACTTTCTATTTATAACTATGCTTTATTATCCAAATCAAACCTGAAATCAACAAATGGATTATTGGTCAAACAAAAGGGAAGTAAAACAGAAAAAAAGGTTGGTCGAAAGTCTTCTCGAGAGTTGTTTGTACAGAAATTTTCCTGCAAATCTCCTGTTTATCATAACTGTAGGATTTATGCAAGTGATGGGCGGTTACTTTGTTATTGTGACCGCAGAAAGCTCGAGTGGTAAGTGACCAACGTCACCATTCTTGTCTTTTTGTATTACTGGTCTTGTACCTCCTATTTTTAATCACAATCTATTGACAAACAGGTATCTTCGCCGTGACCTAGCAAAACTCATTGATGATGATCCACTGGCTATAATGCTTCTTTTTGAGCCAAAAGGTCGCCCAGAAGATGAAGGAAATGATTTCTATATACAGAGCAAGAAAAATATATGTGTAGGCTGTGGTGAAGGAAACCACTATTTACGCTACCGAATCATACCCTCATGTTACAGGATGCACTTTCCAGAACATTTGAAAAGTCATCGTTCTCATGATATTGTCCTACTTTGTGTGGACTGTCATGAAGTTGCTCATTCTGCTGCAGAGAAATATAAAAAACAGATAGCCTCAGAATTTGGTATTCCACTTTATGTCAGGAAAGTACTTGATTCAACTCAAAAACAAGCCATAACTGAGACATCTGGGCCCATGGAGAGAATTGAGGAAGCAGGTGTGTCTCCCTTGCAGTTGCGAACTGCAGCTATGGCTCTTTTGCGCCATGGGCCAAGAATGCCAGCAAAACGCCGTGAAGAGCTGACCCTGGTGAGTAAGAATCTACATAATGAGCATGCATGGAAGACATGTGGTGGGTTGTCAAACTCAACATTTTAGCGGGTCCAACATTGGAATTTTGTCACACACAAAAAAAAAAAAACTCGGATAGAATAAATTGTTAGAAGCTAACATTTGTGGATCATATTGCCTTTTTTACTTGATGGTCCTAGGGGATGCATTAATCTCCCAAGTTGGGATGCTAGGAAATCAAGTTACCAATTTTTGGGTCATTAGCCTTTGCATGTGTGTTATGTTTTGTTTGTATGTCTTAAATATGATTGACAAGACTAATTACTTGTAGTTATTATTTGTGGCCTTAAGTGCCATTTGAAGTTTTTGATTAAATATTTACCACTATTTGTTAGACTCTCTCTCTTGTGCATTACTTGCACCTTTTATCTTCATTTGTGTGGTGTCTAGAGGTGTCTGTGTAATGTGGGCCGTGCCATATTGGCATGCCACGATTTTGCGGGCCACCTGTGCTTTACCAAGTTGTGCTATGCCGATATGTGGCTTTGGTAGGCCATGCCTGCCTGGCATGGAACCCTTAAGGATCAAGCCTGGCACAGTCCACAACACGAGCCTAGGTGGGCCCATGCTGTGATGGGCCGGGTCAGTTTTCTTGTTATTTTTTCACTTTTTGCTAATAAGTAAGAATGATAAAAAATTAACACAACATTTAACAAAGCATAAAATAGACAACAAATTGAAAATAAAATTTCAGAAATTTTATTTCATTTGAATTTAATGAATACAAAGTAAAAATATTGAAAAATTTATAATGAATTTGGAATAAAATATAAAATAATATTATAAAATTGAAAATAAAAAATTATAGTGGTATTGACTATTGAAAAATTACAAATAACTTTTAAATAAAATTGAAAAACAAAATTTACAATAACTTTAAAAATGTTGTACAATTATTGAGTATACAAAAAAATATTAACTTCATCATTTTCTTCAAGTTCCACCTCCTCCATCTCCTTGATCTTGATTTAGACCATCTGTTTCTGGTGGTGGAAAATCAAGTGAAGTATCATGCCCTCCCTGATCCTACATTCTGTTTTTAGATCCAACCAATCCTTCAAACATCCAAGCTTTCATTGTTGATACAACTTTTTTGTCTTCTAGAACTCTAGTACCTACACTAAAACAAGACTCCGGTGGAATTGTGGACACCAGAGGAATTAGTATACTGATCACGTGCCATGGTGGCAAGAACTGAATAATTTTTTCCATGCTCATTCCACTAGGTTAAAATATCAAAATTATATTTTTGGTAAGTAAATATCAAAATTATTTAATTCCACCAAGCTAAAATATCACGTGTTGTGGTGGCAAAAATTGGATAATTTTTATTCCTTAAAATTTTAAGTTAAGTAAACGAACTTGATGAAGTGGTAGCAGATTGTTGCCTTCTATTTATTAGTGACCAAACTCTATCTCTTCCACAACTAGAACTAGTGTTCCAATACTGGGAGCTCTACAACTTCTCCTATGTTCTAATATTTGAGATTCATATACATTGTACATTTCAAATAATAAATTATTAATTTCATATTTTTTGTTCCAATTCCACTTTGCATATTTTTATAATAAAATTCAAGTAAAACATCTAAACCATTTTTTCTAATCCTAAGATCTAATATTGCAAGTTTGCAACTAAGCAATGTAGAACAGAAATACTTTTTCAATATTTTTTAAATTTAATTCCCATTACATTAATAATATTTTGATTTTTGAAGTTGTAAAATATTTTTATATTTTGAAAAATATTCACTAATTATAAATAATTAACTAAAATAGAAGAAGTTGGGTAATAAACACCCGAAAATGCACTAGTTGTATCATAAAAATTTGTAAAAAGCCTTTTATAAAAATTGCCATTTCCCATTCATCATCAGTTATAAAATCTTGGGGCATTTTCTCATTAGAAAAATGGTATGAATATCTTTGTATGAAATACAACTCTCTAACAAAGAATGGGTAGAATTCCACCTATGTTGAACATCTAATACAAAATTTTTGTATTTTAAACCATACTTTTGACATAAATATTTAAATTCTTGTTTTCTTGTTCTTGAGCTTCTAATATACTTAATACAATTTCTAATTTTAGAAATGTGAATAGAAATAATATTTTAAGCATCTTGTACACATAAATTTATGATGTGGCAAGCACATCTAATATGAAATAATTTACCATCTAAACGTTTTAATTGAGATTTTAAAATATTTATTATTGAATCATTATTATTATCATTATCAAAACTAATAGACAATTTTGTTTCCAATTCCATAAGTATATAAAATATTTAATATACTAGCAACCATTGTTGGGCCGTTATGCGTGTGGCCATTCAAGTCTTGTAAAACTGAAATTTCTTTTTTTGTAAAAGCCAATTTTCATCAACAAAATGCCCTGTAACACAAAGATAACTAATATTATATTTTGAAGTCCAAATATCAGATGTAAGTGAAATTTTAGAATTAAGAGTTTATAAAGTAGAAATTATATTTTGTTTATTTGAACAAAAAATTTTTAAAGCATTTACTCTAATTGTATTGTAAAACTGAAAGTTCTTTTTTTGTAAAAGCCAATTTTCATCAACAAAATGCCCTGTAACACAAAGATAACTAATATTATATTTTGAAGTCCAAATATCAGATGTAAGTGAAATTTTAGAATTAAGAGTTTACAAAGTAGAAATTAAATTTTGTTTATTTGAACAAAAAATTTTTAAAGCATTTACTCTAATTGTATTGTTAGAAACTTTTTTAAATTGAGGATTTATTGATCGTTGTAAAAATCTTTATAGCCTAGGGTCTTTAGCTAATAAAAGTGGTTGTTCAACATGTACAACCGCTTGGTGTTCTCTTTGCCTGTCCCCGAATTGGTGTTCTCTTGCCCTATTGCTACAACTATCTGGTTGTGGATTTTTGCCCTATTCGGCTGCAGGTGGTGGCTGCCAGCTGAAGTCTCTCAGTTGTTTGAACCCTCAGTCCTTGGTAGGCAACCCAAAAGAGGAAGACTGATGTGGAGATGCATTAGGGCGACTTCCTTATAGACTATTTGGGAGGAGAGGAACACTAGAATCTTCCACTATAAGGAGAGAAGTCTCTCTGAATTGAAGGACTGCATTTTGATTAGGGCAATTCACTGGTTAAGAACAACAAACTTGGCCAAGCTCTTTTCCTTTGATGACTTCTGGAGGAACTGGTCAACATTGGCTAGCACCTCATCCACAAAACAGAGTTATGTTGCAGATTAGGTCCCTCCTGCTGAGGATTTTGTTAAATTAAACTTTGACGGAAGCAGTCAAGGTAACCCTGGCCCCTCTGGCATAGGAGTCTTGAGGGATAAGGACAGGAATGTTTTATCTCTATTCTCAGGCCCAACTAACTTAGGAGACTACCAAAGCTGAGCTACTAGCTGCTGTATAGGGGATTCAGCTAGCCAGTCAACTTGGTATAGAAAGACTGAGAATTGAAGGTGATTCCCAGGTTGTTGTGGGATGGTTACTGGATCTGGATTCAACTGTCTGGGGTTTCAGAGACCTCCTTAAGAAGGTGGTCTGATTAACAAGGAATATGACAGTGAAGATCCAATGGGTAAGAAAATTAGCTAATGAGATGGCTGATTCTCTTGCAAAACAAGGGATTAAGAGGGATTCTCTATTCTGGGCAGCTTTGTAACTGTTTAATCTCTCTTGTAGTGAGTTTGTATTTTTCTTGTAATTGTGGCTTTCCTAAGAGTGAGGCTGCACCTCAAGCCTCTCTCTGGGCTTATTTGTAACTGTTCTTCATTGGTTAATGAATTAATTTTCAATTATAAGTATATATATAGCTAATTTGTCTTATTTTTTCTTGGGAATTATTCAAATTACCACAAAAACCATGCCCATTTTGTTTTTCATTTTGATTTTGATTTTGATTATTTTATTTTTTAGATGAGTGGCCATATGTCTAGCCAAATGGCTAGTACCCCCTTGCTGCTATAATAGAAATTACTTTTACATTTCATGCAAACAACTCTTTTTCCCTTCCCCTCAAGAGTTTCTATAGTAAACATTTCCCAGACCAGGCTGGACTTTTTCTTTCCCCTAGTAGTAATTCTAGGGGTGGCTTCAGCTGCAACATCAACCATAGAAGCACTAGCACCCATATCAGTGCTATCATTACTGTGACTGTACTCCCAAGTCCCAAACTGCTAACTTGAGATACTTGAGCAAACCTTCTCATTGAAAATTGAATAAAATTGAGAATTAGGGACTAGGGAGCAAGAGATTAATAGAGTATGAGAGAGTATGAGAATTGGTGTGATGAGAATGAGGGAGGGTAAGGGTATTTATAGGAGTTGGAATTAATTCAATTGACCAAAATACCCTTAAAATAATCATTTTATAATTGTTCGGAGGGATGTTTTGGTTTTTCATGAAGTTAATTATCACTTACCAAAATGCCGCCTAAACTAGTTGTTATATAGCTATTGGGGGCATTATTGTCAATTTTCCTCCCCTCCAAAGCCAAAATACACAAATACCCCCCAAACTAGCTGTTGGGGGTATTTTGGTAAAACCCCCAAAAAGCAAAAAAAAAAAAAAGCTGTTGGGGACCCTCAACAGTTATATTCTTAGCAGGCTGGCATGGCCTGTAGGTGGTAAGCTTCATGCCATGCCATGTCAGAGGAACATGCACTTTGTCATGTCATGCTGTGCTGGTCTGCAGGCCTCAAAACCTAAGCCCAGCATGGCCCGAGGATGTGGGTCAGGTCGTGGCACAACCTGATTGCTAGAGTGACTGGGCCGCGACACGAGCCATATTGTGCTGGGTGTGGGTGGCACCACCCACTTTACAGCTCTAGTTGTGTCATCTACTAATAGATCTAATTGGTTTGTTTTTCCCTAGTTCCTTATTTTCTATTCTGATGTTTTACACGAGTGATTTACTTTGTCAAAAGAAAAGATATCTTTTTTTGGCATCTGCAATGAATATCCAGTTTATCTTTGAGAAAGATTCAATTCCTGTTAAGAGAGTTGACTATTGGTTTCATCTGGGTAAAGAGAATCTGCCAACAACCTAGCTGATGCTCTTGCTAGGCAAGGAGTCCAAAGAAGGCAGTTTTTTCTCAGGATCTGCATTGTTTGGGAATGATCGTATGTAAAGGGTATTGGCGAGGTACTTTGGGATCTATTCTAAGGGCTGGCCGCTGGGGTGTTTCCACTTGTATATATATTCATATTATGTACTGGTAGTACTGCTTGTACATGACCCATGTAATTTTGTGTTCTTGAGCAATAAAGTTTCTTTTCTGTTACTGATATTAACAAAAAAAAAAACTACTTCATCTGGATCCCTAGATAAGCTAATTCTTAGTTGAATATCTTGCCAAGAGTGGGAACAGGAGGGCAGGTGGGGAAACCAGCCTTGCACAGGGAACCAACTGTGTTATACACAACAGTCTTTCCTTCATGGTCAATAAAGTTTTACCATAAAAAAAACACTTGCCAAGAGTGGGGTTTCTAGGTCTGGAGTTGTTTGTAGGGGCTATGCATATGTGTGATTTACGAAAAGCAATGCAGATATTAGACAATTGCATCAACAGGGGTCAGATCTGGTAGATATCAAAGACCCCAGAATCCAACAATTGATTTTTAATCAATTCTCTGCTTAGAATATTCTTGTTAAGAATTGACCCAACCTCTTAGTCTTAATTTTAAACAATTCATTGTATTTCTTATTTCTTTTGTTTTCCCCATTCTTTTTACACATCTCTATTCTTGAGATGTGTTCTATTATGTTATGTAATATGTACCTGAAGTTTTGTATCCATGTTGTCTTATTACTTTGCTTTCTCAGTCCACCTCATCTTGCTCTTTGAGAATAAAATCCATGTTTAAGTGTGTCTTACTACTTTTCCAAATTTAACTAAATCCTCATACTTTCCGTTTACCAACTTAATTTTAGTTCTTGGAAATGTTAAAGAAAAGGATTAGTTGGTTCAAATTTTCTTACTTTTATGCAACTTCATTTGCTGATATTTGAAGAGGTTTGAACTTATTTCATCTTTAGAGAACATTATGGGTTTGATTAATGTTTCTTTGGATCTTTGCAGGTTGTCATGAAATATTTTGGAGGGAGGGAAATATCAGAGGAAGATTTAGAAAGGGCTTTATTGGTTGGTATGAGTCCTCATGAAAGACGAAGGCTTGAAAAGAAAAGAGGGTTGTCCTTCAAACATTCCAAGGAGAGTCTCCTTTCAAATGAAACCAATGGACCCAGTACTGGAATCATTGGCACAGCCGCTCTTCTTGAAACATTGGAAACTGATGTATCAAATGGTGCACCCAGTCCTAAAGAATCAGAACCGAACGCAGAAGGAGACGAGATTCTTTTCAAGGAAATGGATGCATGTGCAAGAGAAGGATCTATGTATTCTGGTATAGAAGTGGATCAGGAAACTTCCACTACTGGTACTGAGGATCAGAACTTTGAGAGGGTAAATGCTTGTGTTTTGGAAAATGTTGGTTTTGAAAGCGTAGTAACAGAAACTGGTAATTCCTCTCTCAAATACAATCCAAAATTATCATTGCTGGGACATGGGCCACATGGAAAACAAGTGGTGGATTATCTACTAAAGGAGTACGGAGAGGATGGAATTCGGCAATTTTGTCAAAGGTGGAGACAAGTCTTTGTGGAAGCCATTAATCCTCGTTTCTTACCTGCTGGTTGGGATGTGATGCACAGGTACCATCTTACTTTTTTCTTTGATTTGATTTGTATTAAAGGTATCTTATTCCTCTTTTCGTTTTTTTATAAATGCCTTACTATTATGCTTTATCACTTTTTAGTTTTATCTTTTTGATGAGTAATAACTAATAAGAACTTGATTTCCATTGATATTAAAAGGGTTTTAACCTGTATGAATAGGACAGTTACAAAACTAATCATTAAAAAAGGTACAGAACTTAATACCATCAACTTGGAAGCCACTAAGCTGTATAAGTTGGTTTCCTTCTACCTTGGATCAAGAGAGGAAGAGGACAAAAGTAGAGCAAGAGCCAGAAAGAAAGCAGAAAGAAATTTAAGGCTAATCGTAGGATGGTCTATTGACCCACTCCATTTTCTTTGAATCAAATAACTTTGATAGTTAATTGCGGAAATACCCCTCATTGATGTGTTTCATTCCTTATAATTCCAAGTGATTCTCACAGCAACCATGAACCTCATTGTGAAGAATGTTATGCCATCGACTTCCCATATTTATACTTTTAAGTCCAACAGCCAATTCACTCCATGAGGGCCCCTCACATAAAAGCTTCATGACTCCAATTCTACTCATCCTACAACTATGAAAACTGAAATACGGATCATTCATAACCAGATCATCAAGACTACTTGGGCTAGCCCCAGTGACCATGATCAAAATTACCAAATTGCTCCTATAACAGGAAAACTGAAAAATCCCAGAAAAAAAAATGATGTTATTTCTGGTGAATAACAGAAGAGGCTTTATCAAGAAAGCAAAAGCAAAATCCATAAAACAAGAATGAAACAAAGAAACTTGTCCTGGGAGAAACGCTCACTGATGCATATCTGCTGTCCTTGCACCTCTTTCTGGATTATCTGCTAGAGAGATTATCCATCCAAATGAGATGTTCACTTAGATGGTAGAGCTAGCTGTTTGATGACATAACCAGATCAACAAGATTACTGGGGCTAGCCCCAGTGACCATGATCAAAATTACCAAACTGCTCCTATAACAGGAAAATTGAAAAATCCCAGAAGAAAAAAATGATGTTATTTCTGGTGAATAACAAAAGAGGCTTTATCAAGAAAGCAAAAGCAAAATCCATAAAACAAGAATGAAACAAAGAAACTTGTCCTGGGAGAAACGCTCACTGATGCATATCTGCTGTCCTTACACCTCTTTCTGGATTATCTGCTAGAGATATTATCCATCCAAATGAGATGTTCACTTAGATGGTAGAGCTAGCTGTTTGATGAGATCCCAAGCAGCACAAATAGTGTTGAGGAATTTTTCATGGCCTAGGATTTGGCAGGTCTTTCAGCTTTGTGAAAGTTACAGTGGAAGGTGACTTGCAGAGGTGGGAATCTAGGCCCTTTGTCTCTTTAGTGCAAAATCAGGGAGGCTAGAGCTTTGGTTTCAAGTCTAGAGGCCAGTATATGCTAGGTTCCTGGATCTGAAAATAACCTCGCCGAAACTCTAGGTAGGGAAGGGTGAGTAGGCACTCCATGTATTTACATACCCACCAGGGTAATACACTGATTTCTGCCTGTCCTTATCCTGACACTTAGGCTGTTTTGTGGAGGGGAGAGTTGCAGAATGCTAGCTCTTTACTTTTAGAAGTAATAGACTAATACCCCCTTACGCCCTTTTAACTTTTATTGCACTCTATGATATATTTGTTGGAGAATTTAATACGTCTGAAATTTTGTAGTGGATTGTTAATGGATATTAAAGCATGGGATTTTCAATGCTGTCCCATTTCTCAAAAGTACTGAAAAAAGGGATGGAGTGAGGCAAAGTTGCATGAAAAAGGTTATGTTTTTGAGTGATCAAATTTGAAAATTGTTGGGATGCATGTGTGAGTGTATAAGTCCCACATTGGAAAGAAACAAGAGATGAAAAGGACAATGTACAAGGATTGATCCATGACCTGATAGCTTAAGCTTTTGGGTTAAAGGTGGTGTCAAACTCTTGTGTGCAGTCCTGCATGCAGAACAAGCTCCCAGGCGTTTGTTGCAATTCCCCTCATGCAGAACAATTTTGCTTCATTATAAAAGTTGGCATTTAGCAATGGAGAAGCATAAAGAGGTTACATGTCAATTTACTAAAATAGTCCAAATTGAATGTTTACAGTTCCCCTGCTATGAATTTTGCTTAACATGGAGGTTCTTACAACATTAGTGTTACAAGACTGAGGTCATCATTTGAAGCTCTATTACCAAATGTTTGATTGGTAGTCACAGTTTTAGCCCAACCTCATCCGTTCCTCGGGCTGGAGAAGAATTAATGGAAGTAAATATCTAGATGGTACATCCTCAAAATTTTCAGGAAAGTACAGACTATGTTACGCAGATATGATAATACAGCATGATATGGCATTAGATATGGAATTTAAAAATTGAAATATCTGACACAATACGGCATCCTCGTACAGGGATTTGGCGAGTACAGTGTGTACAAGTATAATCTCTCTCTCTCTCTCTCTCACACACACACAAGTATTGATGAAACATGTTTAGTTACTGAATCTTGGTTTATTTGTGCAAAGGCTCTGATATTGGAACAATATTTTTGCCAGCGGCCGACGGGAATTTGGCGAGTACAGTGTGTATAACCCTGCAAAGAGAGTTTTGAGTATGGCTTAATAATGATGGGTGAAAGGATCAGACTGCCAGAGTACCAGGTGCGAGAGGGTGGAATAATGTAGTTCTTTATGTTCACATGATCTGTAATTGATAGAGGTAACTTCTCTTCTGCTGCGTTTATTTCATCCAAATTCTGGGTGATTCACCGCAGGGGAAGTGTAATCGAGTGAATTCTACCCTAAAAGCTTTTCTATATTTCTTTTTTTTTTTTGGCATATCCCTTAATTTATTGAATATTTAATTTGCTCCATTATGATCAATCTCTCATGCGTTCAGTTATACTTCCTAGTAACATATCCTTAACACATGGGAAATGCTCAAAAGACACATGTCACGTGCACAGTAGGTCCTTGCTGACTTGCCGCCTGGGAAAAACTTTAGCTGTTGGGGGCCAACAGCCTGTGCTGTTGAGAGAATTTTTGGGAATGCCACGTTACCATAATGGGTAAATTAGTAATTACATCTTAATTTATTTTGACTGAACAAAAGCATGGGTATGAATAAATGAACTGCCCAGAACGTGCCTAGCCCAGAAACTGTCTGGGCCCCAACAGCCAAAGTTAACCCCTGCAAATGTAACGAGATTGTGTTGTTGGCTCACATGCCAACTTCACCTACAGCAGTTCCATAATTTTAAGGTTTGTCCATGGGTCCAACATCCAAAGAGAACGAGGCCAATGCTACTCATTATATTTTACATATTGTAATTTGTACTGTGCATTCAAATTTCCTGTTTGCATGTTTGAAATTTGCTCGATCGTTCCCAGAGGCCTATGGTTCTGGGTGAATTGTTTGGATCAATGTATTGACAGTCTATTTTTGTAGCAGTGTATTTAAGTTCAGTAATATGACGCCGGAAAGTAATGATACTGGAAGAACTTTGACCAATCTAAGTAATTTTGATGAATACCACCTGATTGATTATTACTTTTAACATTTTGGTTGATTGGTTTTTTTTTCTTTTATTTTTGGATATTATGCTTGGATTTTGCTTTACATGATATATATATATATATATAATAGAAAGAGGAAGGATGAGAGGTGAGGGGTTTTCTTACTAGAGCTCACATGTGCCTACCAAGGTTTAAAATATCGATACGTCTGATACGCTGGTATGGGTGTGTTGGGCGAATTGAAACTTTTTTTTTAGTTTTTATTTATTTTTTTTCTGAAACCGGTTCAGGGGGGTGGTTTAGGTCTCCACCCCCTGAACCGGTCAGACCCCCGATACACCCACTATAGGGGTGTATCAGAGGGGTCCCGGAACGATACGTATCGGCTGATGCAGGCCAATACGTGTCGATACTTTGAACCTTGGTACCTACTATTCTCTTTTTTCACATATGTACATATTTATTTTTAAATGAAATCATAAAAAATATATTAAAATCCTCATGGGTCTTCATTGCCTCATAAAACCTATATTTATTCTCTAATAAGACAATTCTTCTCTCTCTCTCTCTCTCTTTCTCTCACACACACACACCCCTTAATGTTTCTAACATCTCCCCTCCCCATTAATTCCCTCTTTTTCTCTTAAATCTCGTTTATTCCCTTTTGGCACTTTCTAAAAAAGTAGAGGTGTCAATTAGATGGATTGGGTTAGGTTAAGGGCCAACCTTATTTGGACCAAACTAATATCAAAACTCAAATTTGCCCACTAGTACATGGGGTGAACCATTTTATTCTTGTATAAAAGTCAATTCTCCTTTTCATGGGTTAGTTATTAGGTTTTTTTTATTTTTTATTAATTTAATGTAGATGTGTTTTACGGATTCTCCTAGTTCAACAACAAAATGCAATAAAAGAAACACTTAACATGAGCTTTTGGTTATCTTCGTCGGTTTAATTTTAAAACTGTTTTTAACTTGGTTTATCTATCTCATATTAAGTACTTTTTTTTTTTACTTTATAGGGCTACACAACCATGAGGGGTAGCCTATCCCTCAAAGCTTTAACCCCACAACCTTGGTGGCAACAGGATTTGATCCCAGGTCTTTGCTAGTCAAGATATACAAAAACTTCAGCGAATCACTTTCATTTCATTTTTTCCCTTTAAAAATATATTTTTAAAAAGCAGCCTGTGCATTGCATGGGTCACCGCTAGTAATGTCTTGATATAGGAAAAATTTATGATGCTGTAAAGATGTGGGGCTTACTGGTTTATTGGTTATAAGTTTTTATGGCATCATAGTCAAAATCTTTGATATAGGTCATTTACCAGAACACCCCTTGTGGTTTCATATGTGATTTCAAGGATTTAGTAAAGTATACACTATAGCTTGCATTCAATTAAAACACCCCCCCCTAGTTTGCAACTGATTTATTTAATAGATTTTCCATTTAATGGAGTGGAAAATGATGGGTTTTTTTTATGGAATGGAGGGCGTTCCGAGAAAAAATGGTGGTTTTGACCATAATGCCTGTAAATAAAAATGGAAACTTCATTTTTGCCCTTAGGCTCCGTTTGAGAAGATTGCAAATGCTGGTTCAGGTTCATATATGCATTCTAGTTCAAGGCATGTTTGCATCCAAAATAAGAGCAGAGTTTCTACATATTTGTATTTTGGATGGAGTCTAGTAAATATGGGCAACAACTCTATTTGGTAAACTTTGTTCTTTATTCAGAAAGACAAGTTGCAGATGAAACCTGGATGCCATTGTTCTCTCTTGCTGAAAGCTGGAAAGAAACATTGTTTGGTAGATCTGAAAATCAAATATTGCTTATTTTTTTAAGCTTGATATGAAGGGGGTGTTCTTTTTCTGTATTTTGAAAGGGGGGAAAGTTGGTCAATGGGATTTTGGTTCCCATTGACTAAGAATCCTATGTTCATTTTTTAGAATCCTATGTTCAATTCAGATTGCCAAATTTTTGGTTTACAATCCTCCAAGGGCCCTATATTTCTATCATGCCTTGTGAACTACCAAGAACCGTATAATCTTTGAAATGTCGTAAACTTAGCATTCTTCTTAGGTAGACCTATTCATGGGTCGGGCCGGGCTTACTCTTCATGAACATGATTTTTTTAGGCCCAAGCCCGAGCCCGGCCCGACCAACGGGCCTATAACATGGGCCCGAGCCCGGCCCTAATAAAAAGCCAGAAGCCTGGGCCCGAGCCCGAAGCCCGACCTAACAGAAGAAAGAACTCACCGTCGGTGATTGTGTTCGTCGGTGCCGAGTCCGTGTGTGTGTGTGTGTGTGTGTGTGAGAGAGAGAGAGAGAGAGAGAGGATTCACCGCCACCGTTGGTGCTTAGTTTGTGGTGAGATGCGATTTGGACAGTGAAAAGTGGAGTCAGTTCGCATCTGAGAGAGAGAGGACTCGCCGCCGTCGTTGGTGCCTGTGTTTGCCGCCTTGCCAGTGTTTGAGATTTGAAAGAGAAGAAGTGAGAAGAGGAACGAGAGAGAGAAAGAAAAAGAGAGAGAGAGAGAAGACTCGCCACCGGTCTACCAGAGTTGTTGCGCCAGTGAATGTTCGCCGGTTCTACGACTGCTTGAGAGTGTGAGGAGGATGTGAAGAGAAGAGAGGTTCGGCACTAGGCAGGGTAGTTCGGCTAACTGGAAAAGTGGAAAGAGATGAATGAGAAGGGTTACTTAGGATATTAGGGTTTTTGGGTTTAGTCTATAGGTCGGGCCAGGCCGGGCTATTTTGGCAAATCCCGAGCCCAACTCGAATTTATTGCAGGCCGGGCTTTTTGTCCGAGGTCAAGCCCGCGAGCTCATTTGCGTGTTCAAGCCCGTCCGGAGGCTGGGCCGGCCCGTCGGGCCACCCGGCCCATGAACAAGTCTATTCTTAGGTTAATGCTAATGACAATGAGGTGAATGGTGAACAACCATCAAATGCCCACGTCCAGCATATGCAACAAAAAAGGTAAATTACAAAGACCCCCTATACTATGACTGTGAGACAAAGACCCCCTTCCGTTAGCCTTCCGTTGAAGCCTGCCGTTGCAATATTTTTTAATCCCCATACTACCCTTGTAATAACTATTTCGATAATTGGAAGAAAAACATTGTTCATCTTCCCTGATCTCTCTTCTTCCCCTTCCCCTTTCTCTCCTCCCCTATCTTCTTTCCAATTTCTTCTGTTTTTCATTCCTTGCAAATGGAGAGAAATCGGACTGGGCACACTAAAACAAGATTTTTGGGTGAACATAGACACCGGAAGCAGCTTGAGTTGGGTCCGATGCCAACCCTGTACCAACTGCTCCAAAATTATAGTTCATCTGATGATTATATAGAATTACAACAACAACTATGATCTGAGTTCATTATGATACTAACCCATCTCTGATTTGTGACTGTGAGAGGAGGAGCCAAACATTCACAAATTTATAAAAGGTTTGATTGATTTGCTCATGGCTGTGACTCCAATCGACAAGCGGTAGTTGGATTGTTGGAAAGATTCTCTGGCTCTCATTTTCTCCTCATCAGTCACCCCTTTACACACTCCATGATTACTATGTCTATGTAAGTGAAAAAAGAGTCACGAGAGAGAGAGAGAGTATATGTATTGTCTTGACATGACAACTGATCCATCGATTCAATTTCCAAGTGGTCTTTAAAAACTTTATCTCCACTGATACCCATCTCCCTATCCTTAGCACCTTCCTTCATTCTTCCCTCCCTGAATCCCAACATAGCCAAATAGCCATGCTAACGAAAGAAACTGGATTCTTGTAATTAATCTGTCATCGACATTGTTTGGTATAGACTGAGCTTGATTGGAACAGTACTAGATGAACGAACATGGCTAGTGTAGGAGGACAGAGCAGAAAGGAGGAGAAGGTGTTCGAAACTGCAATTGCAATGCACTTAGCCTGCTGACGACTCAAAAGACCAATGGGAGAAGATTGCTTCCATGATTCCAAGTAAGACTGTTGCTGAACTGAAGAAACACTACGAGGTTTTAATCGAGGATGTAGATGCAATTGAGTCAGGCCGAATCCTGATTCCCACTTACATCAAGGTGGAGAATGCTAACAACAATGCAAAGATCAGCATTTCTTTCCTGCTTCTACTTCTGGAGCTGCTGATAAGAGGTTGAACTGTAATTTTGGAACTGGGTTTTCTGGGTTGGGCACTGATTCAGGCGAGGTTGGCATCAGACCCAACTCAAGTTGCTTCGGGTGTCCATGTTCACTCATAAATCTTGTTTTGGTGTGCCCAGTCCGATTTGACAATGTAGTTGGATGTTCTGAGAAGGTGGGCTGATTTGATTGTAACTTTGGTCTTGGAGTCTCCCAAACCCAGAGGGGATTGTTTGTTGATAGTCGATTG